AGACAGACAGAGACAGACAGACAGAGAGAGAGAGACAGACAGACAGACAGAGAGAGAGAGGCAGACAGAGAGAGAGAGGCAGACAGACAGACAGAGACAGACAGACAGAGACAGACAGACAGAGACAGACAGAGACAGACAGACAGAGAGAGAGAGACAGACAGACAGAGACAGACAGACAGAGAGAGACAGACAGACAGAGAGAGAGAGACAGAGAGGCAGACAGAGAGAGAGAGGCAGACAGAGAGAGAGAGGCAGACAGAGAGAGAGAGGCAGACAGACAGAGACAGACAGACAGAGACAGACAGACAGAGACAGACAACACCACAAGCCAACAGTCAAAAGCTGAGGGCATCCATTTCGCTCCAAAACAAGCAAGGCCCTCTTTTCCAAATACCAGCAGGCCACCGATTTTTCCGCATGGGTGACTTTCTCTAGGAGATGCCCACAAACAAACAAAAAAGTATCTGCCATCCACTAATTATCTCCTGCTTTTGCAAAAATGAGGTACATTAACCACATCGCTAAATAATAAATAAAAATGATATTTGCAAGAATAAACCAGCCTCCCTCGCAGAACAGCTGTAAGACTATAGCTGATATACTGCCGTTTGATATTATCCCAATGACGACAACAATTAAGTGACCGCTTGACATTAGATCCATTCTGTCGTAATGGATTTTGTCAGGAAAAACTATTCATGCCGTTCAAAAATCTTTTTAATTCTACCAATTTTTGTAGTAATTCTTTCACAGAGTCCCCTCCCCCAGTGAACATGCACCCAGAGACCCTGCCCTGTAACCTAAGCTCAGCCTCTTCCGTTTGAATGTTGTAATGACCCTGTAATGAGGTCTTGCAAAATTCAGAGGTGGGATCAACTGACATGACATGGGGGGGGGGACTTATCTGCCAATAAGAATCAGGGAAGATCTGAAATATTCCAGTATTTTGGACTTCCGGCATCCAACCAAAAGGAAACAAACTCTCTCAACCAGTTTTCTAGTCTGAATTAGCAAAACCAGATAGTTCACAACTCCGTTATTATGAGAAGTTAGTTTGGGGAACACAGAACACAGCCTAAGCACAGCAGTTGGCGTCATTAAAGCCCCATCTCACCCCAGCATATAACTGTCCTCCTACCACCCAACAGGTGTTACGGAGCTATTCATACCCACACCAGCAGCTTTGTGAGTACCTTCTTCCCAAGATCTAGCTTACAACTGAGCAGTAAAACCAAAGGAAGGCGACATCTTACATAACAAGTACAACAATGGGCCATTGCAGATTCATCAAAACTAATATTCATTGTGCAATATGCAAAGATGTGAAATAAAAGTTCACTAGACGCAATTCAATAACCTGTTAAATTGTCACTTGTCAGTCCTTTAGGTTCGTTGTTTATATAACCTATTATTTATTACTTTAATAGTGTGACACCCTTTATATATTGTTTACTATTACATATGATTTACTTCTTTGCATATTGTTTACAGATTGCATATTTTTTTACTTCATATTGGTGATTTCATTGGCTTGGGAACTCCCTAATGTAATTCCGTTTTGTGTAACAATAAACATGTTTGAAAGTGAACTGAAATTGTTGAATATATAATGCTGGAATTGGCAAAGTGTCAGAATAATCATTCCATTTTAAAAAGAAAACAGAGAATTTTGATGAGGTTGACTTAAGTATAAAGAACTATTATGTGGTGGAGCATAAAATATTAAGATATAGATACACAGTGATATATAAAGTAATAGAAATATAGGTTTATTTAATCGAGTAAATATTCCAGGAAAATCAGGAGAGCTTATTGGTTAATCTTCGTGAAAACAGAATCGGACTGCTTCAATCATGATACTGGTAACATAGTATAGATACTACTTGTAACCCATACCAGTACACGTACTAGTGAATAATAAAGAATAGCCAATCTTTCCAGTAATGCTACTGGAATTCATTAAGAAATTTCTACGAGTATTTCTGAAATTACTGTCCGCTCTAATTTATCCCAACATTATTCCAAGAAAGTACACATTCAGGAAACCATTTAAAATAAACACGCCGATTAATGACAGACAGACGATTAAATGTACACGTCCCTGGCGTGGATTCATGAACTGGGAATAGCAGGGTCTTCCTGCCAAGTTCAAGCCCAAACAGAGCCGCAGTTATCGCCCGTCCCAGAACCGGAACGGGGGTGGGGCCGCTACACGTGTGGGCAAACGGGAAAGACAGGCACGGGAGCATGTTAAATTCAGTCATTATATACGTGTCAGCACCTTTCTTTGTCTATTCGACCATAAATAAAACTTCTTAATGTTACCCGAAAACGTGCATTTTGCAAGACGTCTGATTTTCCAGGCAGCCATTAACTTCTCGATTTCAGGTAAAAGAAAAATGCAGTTGTTGCCCTAGAGTTTAGATCGGTCTTATAACTTACCTCCAGAAGACACGTATCCTTCAGATTTCAGACCGCATCCAGGTGATAGATATATAACATACAAATCACCCAGTTAACTCATAGTCCTGTAGATGGGAGGCGAAAATTGTGCGGATTTATCTGGTGCATGCAGACGTGAAGGAGCCATTACAGTGGAAGCGCTGCTCTTTCTCCGGGACCGGCGGTTCACAGGGGCAGGATTGAATCCTCCGTGTCTAAGCAACCGGGGAAGCAGGAGCGGTCCACCCCCCCAGGCTCATGCCTGCCGAAAGCAGTGCCCTTTATCATAGTCTTCCGGGTTAAATACACGGGCCGTTATATCGTCACAAAATCACTGCCTACGGCTACTGCCCAGATAATGGTTACATTAAACAGAAATACCTTTCAAATGAATGAACACCTCCGTCATTTGTGTTTATTTTTTATTCATGATCTGATACTTTTATATTTAGCTGGCATATCAATCGTTTCTATGTTAAAAATATATCATGCATATATGTGAAGTATTGATTGCAATACTTGGTTTCAGTCAGTTCACCAAGTAGAGTGTTAATAATGACCGGGATCTTCAGCTTCAGGTTTCAGAACCATCTCTGGTGTCCCTAACAAAGAGGAAAGTTTGCTCGTCATGCATCTCTTCGTATTGGGTAATGTATTCGTTTTCACCGGTCCTCGTCGGTCGGTAAGTAGCGCTTAAACTACATTTCCCAGCATCCTCCCGTGATCCACGTGTCTGGCCCCGTCGATCCCCGTGACAACTTCGGAACAAGAAATAGAGGTGACCCCTCCATCAAGCACGGAGTTGGAGAGAACTTGTCGTGAGCTAATAACAGCGGAAATGGTGAGAGACTGTGCTGATGTTCTCCCTAAGTACTCTTTTTTATGGAAGCGGTTATGCATCCAATGCTACACGTCTTAAAATAGCATTATCTGAAGGACGAAGTGGATGTTGCTTAGCTAGGTGCTTATCTAAACGCGTATTATTTTTTACTTCGCAATGCCTTTTATTGAATTTTCCATAAATGGCTGCTCAGCGTCTAGCTACTTATAATGTTCTGTTAATGCATTTATATTAAGCGACGTACTAGCAGAAAATGGCTGTCCTTAACTTGATGTATTATTTAGTTAACGCGACTATTGCCCGTAACAGGTCAAATACGTATGTATAGGCAGCCGGAAAATTGGTGTTTTTGTAATTGAGTGTTGTGTCCTTAGCTTGATAACGAGATGCGCAAGCTACCAATCGGCATACTCTGTAGCAGTTGGGAGAAAATGATTGGATGCGTTTGATTTAATTAGAAATTCCATTCATTTCTTCGTTCGTTCATTCATTCATTCATTAATTATTCATTCACTCACAGCGTGTGGCCAAGTAGCTAAATATAGTTTGCTGCGGTGGAAAACAAGCATTTCTCACTTTATATTCATATCTGTATTCCAATAACATACGCCTGTTATTCATTAAGAAATTAACGTGTGCACACCACACGAGTGTTAGGATATCGGTGGTTTTTTACAACACTATGCTGGGGTACTGTTTCCCCCCCGTTTTAAATATGATCGCTTCCTACGTCAGTCGGATGTCATGATCCGTACGCAGTATTTCGACGTCCTATTTTTAAACGCCCCATAGGCAGCCTGGACTGTAGCATTTATGCTGCTGCATTTGTCACTTTTGCTCGTTCTTCGCTAACCCTGGTATTGATGCACCTGTCTCTGTCTCACAGGCCGACCCCATTAGAGTTTTGGTTACTGGCGCAGCCGGGCAAATCGCCTATTCTCTTCTCTACAGCATCGCTAAGGGTGATGTTTTCGGCAAAGACCAGGTAAGGGTTGCCTTTTGATGGCATAGCTTAATAAGAGGCTTTTTAAAACTGTCTAACCTACAACCATACATGTATTTAAAAAATGTAATTTAATGATTCTAAAATGTAATGACAGCTTTTATGAGTTATTTGCATAACTACTAGAAAGGTGTTGCAGACGTTTATTTGTGTATTTTTAAATTCCCCCTCTACCAGCCCATCATCCTCCTCCTCCTTGACATCCCACCGATGTTGCCGGTCCTGGATGGTGTTGTCATGGAGCTGCAGGACTGTGCCCTGCCACTCCTGAGAGGTAGGCCTCACTCCCCCCATCCCTTTTGAAGCCACTTATGCAGATTAGAACTTTGGGGGAGGGGGGGGGGGGCTTTGTTTTCACTGTTTCCTTCACAAATTGTTGTATGACAATGGAATTTACAGAATCAGATATTTGCTATAGGCATCTGTCTTCTTCTGATGCACATTCTCATTTCCTATCAGAGGTCATCCCAACAGCCAAGGAGGATGTGGGGTTCAAGGACCTGGATGCTGCCGTCTTGGTGGGCTCCATGCCCAGGAAAGAGGGTATGGAGAGGAAGGACCTGCTGAAGGCTAACGTGAACATCTTCAAGTCTCAGGGGGCAGCTCTGGAAAAGTACTCCAAGAAGACCGTGAAGGTAACTTACCATCAGCGAGCCAGGAGCAGAAGGTCGCTCGGTGTAAATGGCATTTGCCTGGGTCACCTTCCCTACAATTCTTCCCAAAGCTCTTAGATATTGGTGGCGGTGTTTTGTATCATTAATTTTTTGCTCGTTTTTTAAATGACGCAGGTTCTGGTTGTTGGAAACCCTGCCAACACAAACTGCTTGATTGCTGCAAAATCTGCCCCATCCATCCCCAAGGAGAACTTCTCCTGCCTGACCCGCCTGGATCACAACAGGGCCCGCTCTCAGGTGTGCGGCCTCCCGTATGAGTGAGGCCGGCCTTTGGGACCTCATCCCATGCATGCGAATGCTGTCTTACAGCCATGTAGAGGCACGGAAGTCTGGTTGGATAAATTATTGATGAGCAGACCATGCATCCACAAGGCTTACGGAATAATCATAATGTTTTATGGCTCTACTGACATACCTCTGAGGTATTTTCAGGTGTCTCTATGACACACAGTCTACAGTGTGAGGTCACCAAGGTCACTACTTACACTCTAGGTGGCGATACGTGTGGGCGTGCCTGCGGACAACGTGAAGAACGTCATCATCTGGGGGAACCACTCCTCTACCCAGTATCCTGATGTCCACCACGCCAAGGTCAACATCCAGGGTTCAGAAGTGAACGTCTTTGATGCTGTGAAGGATGACAGCTGGCTTAAGGGCGATTTCATTTCCGTGAGTTGATTCTTCTCCCTACATTTATATAAACATTTGTTTCTGTCAGTCAACATGATAACCTTTCCAGCATATCTTGCTTCTCTTTTGCTGCTGGTATTAACAATTCTAATCTTGGACTCGTACAATGTAAGCAAGCTTGCATTGGGGGATATTAATTCTGAATGCTATCCATAAATCGGAGAAAGAAATGGACTTTTGCAGCAGTTTTCTCAAGGGTTGCAGACATTTGATGGAGATGTAGAAATATGAATCTGTCCAGTATTGTAATATCAGTCGTTTTGTCTGTGTCATCTAGACCGTGCAGCAGCGTGGAGCTGCTGTCATCAAGGCCAGGAAGCTCTCCAGTGCTATGTCTGCAGCAAAGGCCATCTGTGACCACATGAGGGACATCTGGTTTGGCACTCCAGAGGTCAGCGTCGTATACTGGGTGTCCCCCTGTGTCACATGGGCCACCCGTCTAACAGAAGCTGTTTCCCAATTTCTTTCACTGTCCTTTAGGGGGAGTTTATCTCCATGGGTGTTTACTCCAGTGGGAACTCCTATGGCGTTCCTGAAGACCTCATCTACTCCTTCCCAGTTGTGATCAAGGTATGGCTCATGAACTTCATGAATGGCTCACTGTATAACATCTCTAGAGGTTCTTTCTTCAGGGACATAATATTTACACTTAAGGATACTGTTGGCGTAGAGAGATTGACCGCAGTAAGTCGATATTGAAGCGTTGCCTGTTCTGGGAATAAGATCATTTTGGTCTGAAGTGCCCATTTCCCAGTGTCTTGGAATGGAGGTCTCTTACTTCCTATATATATTTTTTTTTCCCTCCCTTTCCCAGGACAAGTCCTGGAAGATTGTCGATGGGCTGCCCATCAAAGACTTCTCCAGAGAGAAGATGGATGTTACGGCAGCAGAGCTGGTGGAGGAGAGGGACACCGCAGTCTCCTTCTTGGGGGTCTGACTAGGTCCACCACAAATCTCAAAGCAACATTTAGACCCCCAGAAACCCCCTGACCCTCGTCTGTAAACAACTCCAGCTGTTCCCTGTGTGTTTGTGTCACGTTAAGCTTTAATTCAGAGAGTATTGTAACAATTGGTCCAGATGTTGGTCAGAAGGGTCTTGGGAGTTTTAGTCAAGTACTGTAATGCAGTAGTTACTCATGACAGTGATAACCTGTTACATTCAACAATAAAAACACAACCCTACAAACATGTCCTGATTATTCTGTTGCCGTCTGGAGTTCCTGTTGTCAGTTCCTGGACTATACTTAGCAATATTCAGTGAGTTACTACTGAATGAATGTAACTGTGTAAGATTACACAGTGCGAAACAAACATAATATCTTTTGGAAGTAGAACAGGGAGATGGGGAAGTGGATGATGCAATGAAGGAATTTATTTGCAGTCATTGTGATATTAATAGTTATACCACGCAGTACAACAGGTGGGCAATCTTATCGAGAAAGGGCCGCTGTGTGTGCGGGTTTTCACTGCAACTCCATAGATTACTAATTAGAGGACTGATTGGCTGAGGAGTCCTCACACCTGGGTTTGAACAGCTGACCTTGAAGGTTATCCCAAAGACCTACACACTAGCCCTTTGCAGATAAGATAGGCCTTGCCTGTAGTACAACTTTATCTGACCATCGATTGTGAGTATGTTAGAGTATGAAGTGAGTTTAAGGGTTTGAGTGGAATATATTTTTGTATAGGACCTTTCACAGAGTCACTCCAAGATGTTTTACATGGGTGTGTTGTAATACATTGCAAAAACTAAAAATAAGGACCAGCTTCACTCCCAATTTTATTTCCTTTCAGTGTGCTGGACCATAATACTGAGTCATTAAAATAAAGAAGGCCACACTTTGCATGATCAGTTATGTTTGTGTCTTTCAAAATATCTCCACAAAGATGCGTTTCGGCGAGAACACTGAAAGCACTAATCTGAGACGCATCTGTGTGGATCAAAGAAAACAAACCTGATCATGCAAAGAATGACCACGTGTTGTAATACATTCCTACTTCATTCATACAGAATACTTCAAAAACGGATATGGAAAGACAAAGAGATTAAAGAGAGAAAGCTAGAT